CTCCATCCGGGTCACTGGGCTCCATCCGGGTCTCTGGGCCACATCGGGGTCACTGGGCTCCATCCGGGTCTCTGGGCTCCATCCGGGTCTCTGGGCACCATTCGAATCTCTGGACTCCATCCGATGCTCTGGGCTCCATCCGGGTTCTTAAGGCTCCATCTTGTGTATAAGGCTCCCTCCGAGTCTCTAGGATCACTCCAGGTTCCTAAGGCTCATCGAGGTCTCTGGGCTCCACCAGGGTCTCCGGGCCACATCCGAGTCCCCATTGCCACATCCGGGTCCCCAGGGCCACCTCCAGGTCTCTGGATTCCATCGGGTTCTCTGGGCTCCATCCGAGTCTCTGGGCTGCATCCGGGTCTCTTGGCTCCTTCCGGGTACCTAAGGCTCCATCCGAGTCTCTGACCTCCATCCGGGTCCCTAAGACTCCATCCGAATTCCTAAGGCTCTATCTGGGTTCCTAAGGCTCCATCCGAGTCTATGGATTCCCTCCGGCTTACACAGAGCCGGGCGGGGATACTACACCTCCCCGAAGCCTCAGCGGCGGCGGCGACGCTCTACGTGTGGGCTGTACTGGCCTGAGTGACAGGTAGCCGACCCAATGGCTTCCCCGGTCTCAGACTCCGGACCACTCAGACGTGGGGTGGGTGTGTGCTTCCTGTTTCGGAGGCGTCTGCTCGGGGCGGAAATGGTGTGGAAAGGAACCGTGTTTCAACCCAGCTGTCTTCTTTCTCTTCTTAGAAAAAAGCTGTGAGGCCTAATTTTCCTGACCTGAGCTATCATTTTCCTTTTATCATCTGTGGGCCATATTTCCTGGTTTCACATTGCCCAGCCACCCTCTGCTTGGACAGGGTGGACCGGGGAGACTACAACTCCCCAAAGCCTCAGCGGCAGGGCGCTCTGCGGCTGGGCTCGTCTGAGTGACAGGTCGGGCAGCCATTGGCTTCACGCGGTCTCAGACTCCGTTGCCAATCAGATGCTGAGTGGTTGTGTCGCCCTGTTTCTGCGGCTCGGGGCGGAAATGGTGTGGAAAGGAACCGCCTCGAGCCACGCCCCTCGCGGCTCCTGACTGGACGCGGGAAGTGACGTCTGCGCGCACCACGCGGCAGTCGTCCCGCCCATGTCCAGCTCGGACCGGACGGGCAGCTTCGGGTCTGTCCCGCACGTCCCTGGCAGCCCCTGAGCGGGCGCGTACCCGCCTGTCCGTCCGCCAGAACCTCGCCCTGTAGCTTGGCCCTGCCTGCCCTTGTCTGGGAGGAGGAACGCGCAGGAGGAGCCCAGAACCTGTCTTCTGCACGCTGCCTGCCCGCGCCCAGCACGGGCGGGACAGGCCGGACTGTTCCTCCTCATCCAGCAGAGCCAGTCAGGGCCGGGCAGAGGGCGAGGTTCTGAACCTAGACCTGCGCCTCACTCGTCCAGGGAGGCCAGGCAGCCACCGGCGAGGAAGGAGGTGGCGTTCTGAGCGCGCACTGGAAAAAGTCATTAGCGGCAGTGCAGAGGGCGGGAGGAGGCGCCCTCGGCAGCTTCCGGGTCGCGTTAGGGGCAGCAGGAGCGCTAAGGGGGTGGGTTTAGGCGGGAGACTGACAGATTCCCGGTCCAGTCAGGGGCAGAAGGAGCGCTAAGGGGGTGGGGTGCTGGCGGGAGACTGACAGGATCCCGGTCCAGTCAGGGGCAGGCAGCACCTCCAAGGGGGTGGGGTTTAGGCGGGAGACTGACAGGTTCCCCGTCCAGTCAGGGCAGGCAGCATCGCCAAGGGGTGGGGTTTAGGCGGGAGACTGACAGGTTCCCCGTCCAGTCAGGGGCAGAAGGAGCGCCAAGGGGGTGGGGTTTAGGCGGGAGTGACAGGATCCCCGTCCAGTCAGGGGCAGAAATAGCGCCAAGAGGGTGGGGTTTAGGCGGGAGAGTGACAGGTTCCCCGTCCACAGGGGCAGAAATAGCGCCAAGAGGGTGGGGTTTAGGCGGGAGACTGACAAGTTCCCCGTCCAGTCAGGTGCAGGAAGGGGAGCGCTAAAGGGGTGGGGTTTAGGCGGGAGACTGACAGGTTCCCCGTCCACTCAGGGGCAGAAGGAGCGCCGAGGGGGTGGGGTTTACTCTCTTTTCTTGAAAATAAAAGCTCTATGATCTAATTTTCCTGACCTAAGTTATCATTTTTCTTTTATCATCTGTGGGCCATATTCCCTGGTTTCACATTGTCCAGCCACGCTCGGCTTGCACAGAGCGGGGCGGGGAGACTACAACTCCGGAAGCCTCAGCGGCGCCGGCGACGCTCTACGTGTGGGCTGTACTGGCCTGAGTGACAGGTAGCCGACCCAATGGCTTTCCCGGTCTCAGACTCCGAACCGCTCAGACGCGGGGTGTGTGCTTCCTGTTTCGGAGGCGTCTGCTCGGGGCGGAAATTCTATATGTAAGAGCTGAGAAAGCTTTCTTTTCTTTCAAAAAAAAAAAAAAAAGCTCTGAGGCCTAATTTTCCTGACCTAAATGATCATTTTTCTTTTATCATCTGTGGGCCATATTCCCTGGTTTACATTGTCCAGCCACCCTCTGCTTGGACAGGGTGGACCGGGAAGACTACAACTCCCCAAAGCCTCAGCGGCAGGGCGCTCTGCGGCTGGGCTCGTCTGAGTGACAGGTCGGGCAGCCATTGGCTTCACGCGGTCTCAGACTCCGTTGCCAATCAGATGCTGAGTGGTTGTGTCGCCCTGTTTCTGCGGCTCGGGGCGGAAATGGTGTGGAAAGGAACCGCCTCGAGCCACGCCCCTCGCGGCTCTGACTGGACGCGGGAAGTGACGTCTGCGCGCACCACGCGGCAGTCGTCCCCCCATGTCCAGCTCGGACCGACGGGCAGCTTCGGGTCTGGGTCCCGCACGTCCCTGGCAGCCCCTGAGCGGGCGCGTACCCGCCTGTCCGTCCGCCAGAACCTCGCCCTGTAGCTTGGCCCTGCCTGCCCTTGTCTGGGAGGAGGAACGCGCAGGAGGAGCCCAGAACCTGTCTTCTGCGACGCTGCCTGCCCGCGCCCAGCACGGGCGGGACAGGCCGGACTGTTCCTCCTCATCCAGCAGAGCCAGTCAGGGCCGGGCAGAGGGCGAGGTTCTGAACCGAGACCTGCGCCTCACTCGTCCAGGGAGGCCAGGCAGCCACCGGCGAGGAAGGAGGTGGCGTTCTGAGCGCGCACTGGAAAAAGTCATTAGCGGCAGTGCAGAGGGCGGGAGGAGGCGCCCTCCGGCAGCTTCCGGGTCGCGTTAGGGGCAGCAGGAGCGCTGAGGGGTGGGGTGCTGGCGGGAGACTGACAGATTCCCGTCCAGTCAGGGGCAGAAGGAGCGCCAAGGGGGTGGGTGCTGGCGGGAGACTGACAGGATCCCGGTCCAGTCAGGGGCAGGCAGCACCGCCAAGGGGTGGGGTTTAGGCGGGAGACTGACAGGTTCCCGGTCCAGCAGGGGCAGAAGGAGCGCCAAGGGGGTGGGGTTTACGGGAGAGTGACAGGATCCCGGTCCAATCAGGGGCAGGCAGCACCGCCAAGGGGTGGGGTTTAGGCGGGAGACTGACAGGTTCCCTGCAGTCAGGGGCAGAAGGAGCGCCAAGGGGGTGGGGTGCTGGCGGGAGACTGACAGGATCCCGGTCCAGTCAGGGGCAGGCAGCACCGCCAAGGGGGTGGGGTTTAGGCGGGAGACTGACAGGTTCCCGGTCCAGGCAGGGGCAGGCAGGGGAGCTAGGGATGCGGGGTTCTGGTTGACGACGGGCAGCTTTTGGTCCGAGTCAGGAGCTGGCAGGGGAGCCAAGGAGGTGGGGTTCTGGCGGGAGACTGACAGGTTCCCCGTCCAGTCAGGGGCAGAAGGAGCGCCGAGGGGCTGGGGGTTTAGGCGGGAGACTGACAGGATCCCGGTCCAATCAGGGGCAGGCAGGGGAGCTAAGGGGGTGGGTGTCTGGCGGGAGACTGACAGGTTCCCGGTCCAGGCAGGGGCAGGCAGGGGAGCTAGGGATGCGGGGTTCTGGTTGACGACGGGCAGCTTTTGGTCCGAGTCAGGAGCTGGCAGGGGAGCCAAGGAGGTGGGGTTCTGGCGGGAGACTGACAGGGTCCCGTCCAGTCTGGGGCAGGCAGGACCGCCAAGGGGGTGGGGTTCTGGCGGCAGAGTGACAGTTTCCCGGTGCAGTTGTGGGCCGGCAGGGGAGCTAAGGCCTTGGGGTTTGGGCGCAGACTGACAGGTTCCTGTCCAGTCAGGGGCAGGAAGGGGACCAAGGAGGTGGGGTTCTGGCGGGAGACTGACAGGTTGCGGGTCCATCAGGGGCAGGCAAGGGAGCTAAGAACATGGGGTTATGACTGAAGATTGACAGGGTCCGGTCTAGTAAGGCCAGGCAGGGGAACAAAGGAGATATGGTTCTGACTGCAGACTTACATGTTCCTGGTCCTTATGGCCTGGCAGGGAGGCTAAGAGTGTGGGGTTCTGGCCTCAGACTCACAGGTTCCTGATCCACTCATGGGCAGGCAGGGGAGCAAAAAGTTGGTGTGATGGCCACAGACAGACAGGTTTCCAGTCCCATCAGGAGCAGTCTGCGGACCTAAGGATGTGGGGTTCCTGTTACAGATTGACATGTACAGTCAATGCTACTCAGCACAGCCACAGGAAGTTGGGTTCTGGGCACAGGCTGTCAGGTCTAGGTACCATCAGGGCCACACAGGGCAGCCTCAGGGAGTGAGGTCCTGGCAGCAGACTGACAGGTTCCCGGTGAAGTCAAGGAAGTGGATTCTGGCTTCAGTACAGTAGAGATTGCTGAACAAAGTAACTCCCTGCATCCAAAGCTTCTGTGCTGTAAGCCCCCCTGTGACTCCCTGTATCCAAAGCTTCCATGTTGTATGTAACTCCGTTTTCCTGCTGATGTAGCCCTTTTTCCCTTTAAAAACTCTCCCTAAGAAAGATCGGGGCCTCACTCCTTCTCTGCTGTGCTGGTTGGTTGGATGGGGTCCCTGTCGCGGCTTGTACTCCTGAATAAACCTTGCTTTTGCAGTTCGGTGTGATCGACACTCTGGGGGTCTCTGCAGGGATCTAATGATCTGGGCACAGCATACTTTTTGGTACCCAGCAGTTGAATTATTAATAAAGACCCTCCACGACATTGAGAAACTGAGGACTGGATGACTTCAATGCTGAACATGATCCAAAGAAAAATTGATTCCAATTGTTCTCAAGCTTTTGAAAACATGGATATTATCCCAGACTCCTTTTATGAGGCCAGCATCACCTAATTCTAAAACCAGAAAAAGATACAATAAGGAAAGATAATTATAGAGCAATGTCTGATGAATATAGATGCAAAAGTCCTCAACAAAGTACGATATAATTAAATCCAACAATGTATCAGCAAGAATGTGCATCAGGACCAAGTCAAATTTATTCCTGGCATGCAGGAATCATTCAACTTATGAAAGTTTAGTAAAGAATGTAGCTAGAAAGAAGGGAAAACTTCTAATTTAGGCATTTTATCCATTTTATTTAACCAAAATATTTGCTGCGACAAGACTTTGCAACATGTGTATTGTGTAAATTATCTGTGAATGTTTTATTTTAACTTGTTTTGCAGGGAGGAAAACCAACATTAGGCAGAAAGTCATATTTGCATTGCTAAGAGACAAGTCCTCTTATGATGTCACAGTAACTCAGGACCATGGTGATGGCTGACATCAGCTAGTCTTGTGTAAGTCTACTAAAGCAACATTTGAGGCCTCAGTTCTCAAAACCAGGCAGAAGCCAAAGAAAAATTTATTTGAGATGGCCCAGGTTCCCTCAGAAGTTCAAGGTGTCTCTCCTCAGAGTGGAACAACTGATTCAGAAAACACCACTGAAGCTCCAGGCTGGTATCCCACAATTGATAATGACTTGGATTTAAGGTCTGTAGTTGAAGAAAATGCCTTTCAAGCTTTATCTGAAGGACCCTTGATAAAAAGACCACGCTATACACTTTGTATGTCTGACACCCCAGAAGGGAATGATTTTGTTTCTCTGACCTTTCCTGTAAAACTTTGGAAGATAGTTGAAAGTGATCAATTTAAGTCAATTTGGTGGGACGAAAATGGGACTTCTATTGTGATAAATGAAGAATACTTTAAGAAAGAAGTGTTGGAAAGAAAGACCCCTTTTAAGATATTTGAAACAGACAGCATGAAAAGTTTAGTTCGACAGCTTAACCTTTATGGATTTAGAAAAATACGACAAGATTTCCAAAGCTCTGCATCCCTGACTGACTTTCGGGAAGAAGAAAACAACATACCTGTTTTTAGCAAGGTATTCAACATATTCACTTCCAACTAAGTAGGCATCACAACTAAGTTTAGTTTGTACCTCACTTAATATATTTATTTATGGAGTAAGACACAAAGTTTAAAATTAGCTGGATCAACTTAAATTTTTATGAGAAGAAAGTTTGAAATTCAAAAATATAAGCAATGTTACTAGTTATTTTGAATCTTATCAATGAGCTCCACACAAAGAAGTTAAGGTCAGTTTAGTGGAACGGTTATCATATTTAAATGTTTGCTAACTTTTACATTAGGAATAATCAAGTTTATTTGTTGTATTATGTTGAACCTGATATTTTAGATTTTATAATTTTATCTATTCATTTATTCATAGATTGCATATATTCATATATATTAATTTGTGACTCTTGGTTTGAAGTATCACTAAATGCTTTCTTCCTTTGGTTTCAGTTACTGTTTCTATCAGAATCCAAATTTTAAGCGAGGATGTCCCCAACTTCTAGTAAGAATGAAGCGCAGAGTTGGGATTAAACACACATCTCCACCATCTGCTTCTTTAGTTCACAATCTTGACAAGACATACCACAGTGCAGGCGAGTATGTGCATACTCAAAATCCTAGCTCATCTACAGAAACTAATGAAGAAAGGTTACTTTCACTTCTACAATTTAATGTGCTTCCTACTAGCCACAGAATTGCTAATTCAAATGATCCAGTGACAAGTATATTTTGACTCCTATCATCAACTTTAATTGCACCATCAGTACAATTTGTAACAATCAACATGCTCTTTTAAATCAATGACCACTTCTCATAGGCATTCATATAGCACCTACTCTCAAGCACATGGCCATATCCTGATGTTGTGACAACTACAACTTCTATTTCCCCAATTTCAAATATTGTCTCCTGTACAGAATAATTATTTTGGACTGATGGCAACCGTCCTGTTTTTGCACCTAGACATCCTTCTTTAGCAACAATTGTGGGTCCTTTTTCTAGCACGTTAACAGCAAGCAATCCATGTTCACTATGCCAATGATAGCTAGTAGAAACTGCTGCCTCCCCGCCAATGTCAACTAATCAACCATCCTCAATATACCAATATCCTAATTTTAACTGACCTTCGACTAAATGAAAATTAGACACGGAAAGGTGTTATGTTCATCAGTTCTGAAAAATAACTGAAATTCTATTACTTGAACAATAACATGCATGTTCAACTTATGATTTTTTTTCTTTTCAAAATATAGTTTTATAGTAAATATTTTATATTGACAGGAGCTAGTCTGCTATTATTTGTATAGGTTTTGAGAGTTCCGTCATTTGATATGAAACTTCACATGGAAAATATTTGAAAGTTAACTTATTTCATTTTATTTTTATAAGAAATGTATTAAATACATTGCATTCTCAGGGTCAAGAGCAAATGCATTAATAATTGCTAGAACATAATTCTATTCATTTTTTAAGTTAGTCTGTTTTGTTTGGTAGCTTTTATTTAATCAATATAAATTTCCAAGTACAGCTTATGGATTACAATGGCTTCCCCCCCATAACAGCCCTCCCACCCACAACCCTCCCTTGTCCACTCCCTCTCCTCTCCCTTCATTCACATCAAGATTCATTTTCGATTCTCTTATATACAGAAGATCGTTTAGCATACATTAAGTAAAGATTTCAGGCCAGCGCCGCGGCTCACTAGGCTAATCCTCCACCTAGCAGCGCCGGCACACCGGGTTCTAGTCCCGGTTGGGGCGCCGGATTCTGTCCCGGTTGCCCCTCTTCCAGGCCAGCTCTCTGCTGTGGCCAGGGAGTGCAGTGGAGGATGGCCCAGGTGCTTGGGCCCTGCACCCCATGGGAGACCAGGAAAAGCACCTGGCTCCTGGCTCCTGCCATCGGATCAGCGCGGTGCGCCGGCCGCAGCGCGCCGGCCGCGGCGGCCATTGGAGGGTGAACCAACGGCAAAGGAAGACCTTTCTCTCTATCTCTCTCTCCTCACTGTCCACTCTGCCTGTCAAAAAAAAAAAATTAAAAAAAAAAAAAAAAGATTTCAACAGTTTGCTCCCACACAGAAACATAAAGTGAAAAATACTGTTTGAGTATTAGTTATAGCATTAAATCTCAATGTACAGCACACCAAGGACAGAGATCCTACATGAGGATAAGTGCACAGTGACTCCTGTTGTTGACTTAACAAATTGACACTCCTGTTTATGGCATCAGTAATCACCCTAGGCTCTAGTCATGAGTCGCCAAGGCTATGGAAGCCTTTTGAGTTTGCCGACTTCGATCTTGTTCGGACAGGGTCATAGTCAAAGTGGAAGTTCTCTCCTCCCTTCAGAGAAAGGTACCTCCTTCTTTGATGGCCCATTCTTTCCACTGGGATCTCACTCACAGAGATCCTTCATGGAGGTTTTTTTTTTTTCCAGAGTGTCTTGGCTTTCCATGCCTGAAATACTCTCATGGGCTCTTCAGCCAGATCTGAATGCCTTAAGGGCTGATTCTGAGGCCAGAGTGCTGTTAGGACATCTGCCATTCTATGAGTCTGCTGTGTATCCCGCTTCCCACATTGGATGGTTCTCTCCCTTTTTGATTATATCAGTTAGTATTAGCAGACACTAGTCTTGTTTGTGTGATCCCTTTGACTCTTAGACCTATCAGTGTGATCAATTGTGAACTGAAATATCACCGGGAGTAGTGAGATGGCATTGGTACATGCCACCTTGATGGGATTGAATTGGAATCCCCTGGTATGTTTCTAACTCTACCGTTTGAGGTAAGTCAGCTTGAGCATGTCCCGAATTGCACATCTCTTCCCTCTCTTATTCCCACTCTTATGTTTAACAGGATCACTTTTCAGTTAAGTTTCAGCACTTAAGAAGAATTGTGTGTTAATTACAGAATTCAACCAATAGTAATAGAACAAAAAAGAAAAAATACTAAATGGATAAAGTATTACATTGTACATCAACAGTCAGGACAAGAGCTGATCAAGTCACCGTTTCTCACAGTGTCCATTTCACTTCAACAGGTTTCCTCTTTGGTGCTCAGTCAGTTGTCACCGATCAGGGAGAACATATGATATTTGTCCCTTTGGGACTGGCCTATTTCACTCAGCATGATGTTTTCAAGGTTTCTCCATCTTGTTGCAAATGACTGGGTTTCATTATTTTTGACTGCTGTATAGTATTCTATAGAGTACATGCCCCATACTTTCTTTATCCAGTCTACTGTTGATGGGCATTTGGTTGGTTCCAGGTCTTAGCTATTGTGAATTGAGCTGCAATAAACATTAATGTGCAGACAGCTTTTTTGTTTGCCAATTTAATTTCCTTTGGGTAAATTCCAAGGAGTGGGATGGCTGGGTTGTATGGTAAGGTTATATTCAGGTTTCTGAGGAATCTCCAGACTGACTTCCATAGTGGCTTTACCAGTTTGCATTTCAACCAACAGGGGTTAGTGTCCCTTTTTCCCCACATCCTCGCCAGCATCTGTTGTTGGTAGATTTCTGAATGTGAGCCATTCTAACTGGGGTGAGGTGAACCTCATTGTGGTTTGATTTGCATTTCCCTGAGTGCTAGTGATCCTGAACATTTAGGTTTTCTGTCTTCCTGGTTCAATTTAGGTAGATTGTATGTGTCCAGGAATCTCTCCATTTCTGATAGATTTCCCTGTTTGCTGGCATACAAGTCTGTGAGTCTAATTGGAGATCCTTGAGAGTAATCTGACGTTTCTCTCTTGCACATTTTAGGATCTTTTCTTTATGTTCACTGTGGTGAGTTTAATTACCACGTGTCGTGGTGAGGATCTCTTTTGGTCATGTTTATTGGGGGTTCTATGAGCTTCCTGTACTAGGATGTCTCTGTCCTTCTCCACACCCATAAAGTTCTCTGCTAGTATCTCACTAAAAAGGCCTTCTAATCCTTTCTCTCTCTCCATGCCTTCAGGAACTCCTAGAACTCGAATGTTGGTTTTTTCAATAGTATCCTGTAGATTCCCAACAATATTTTTTAGATTTCTAATTTCCTCTTCTTTTCTTTGGTTTGACTGTATGTTTTCCTGTGCTCTTCTTCTAAGCCCAATTCTCTCTTCTGTTCACCATCTGTTTTTAAGGCTTTCTAATGTGTTTGTCATTTGATCTATTGAGCTCTTCATTTCATTTTGGTTCTCTCACTATACACTTTCCTGTTCTACTAGTTTCTGTGTTTCATATTTGATTCTTCCTTAAAATTTCATTTTCATGAGAGAGATTTTCAATCCTGTCCAGTAAGGATTTCTGTAGTTCAAGGATTTGCTTTTGAAAACTTCTAAATGTTTCTTATCATAAATTTTTTGAAATCTCTATCTTTCATTTCTTCTATCTCATCATCTTCATAATCTTGAATTGGGTGTCTTGTCACTTTGGGGGTGCCATAATGTCTTCCTTGATCTTGTTTCCTCAGTTTCTGCATTTGTTGCTGGCATTGTGGATTACTCTTTGGATGCTTCTTCCCTTGCTGTGGTGTTTTTTCTTGTTTACTATGACTGTATTAAGTGGACTGTCTGCTTGTGATGGAGCCTTAGAGGCTTGAGATAGGGTGTGGCCTGAGAGCCTGTTTGGTTCCTCAGGGTTTACAGGGTATGCCAAAGGTGACACTCCCAGGTTAGGCCATGGTAAATCTCTCTCTTTTTTATTATTATTTTTTTATTCAGAAGGGAAGTAATGCTGCACAGCTAAGCAGAATTGAAGGTAGTCAGCGTCCAATCTCTGGCTCCTGTGGGTATAACATTCATCTGCTCTTTCCCAAAGGACCACACAGGTAATCAGTAGAGGGATTTGTCTGTGGAGAAAATCCTGAACAATCATACAACATGAGTGGGGAGAGAGGACCATCAGTACACACGGGTTGGGAGTAGAGCCACTGATGTTAGAGTAGAGGCTGTGGATTACAAAGGAATGAGGCCCCAAGTGGCTAGACAGGGTCTAGAAGAGTTACTAGTGGAGGACCTAAGGAAGCTGCTGTCTAAGCCACAAATAAGTTCTCTGATTGAGAGGCAAATAGAACCTGACAGAAGGGGCTTGATAATCTGCTGGGCTTTATGGTCCTGTCAGTTATGAGGCCCAGACTCATCTATCTCTTTACATGGGGTACATTTAAGAGAGGTGTGAACCTCCTTGGGGAAGGCACCCTGTTGACTTCCATTACCAGCTGGCCTGGGAGGAGAGTTGGCCAGGTAAGGCAGATGGCATCTCCAACAGGAAATTGACAGTTCTGCCTGTAATGTTTCGACCCTGCTTGGCCACCCCTTCACAGCAGGGGTCACCTTGAAGCTGGGCTGAGTGAAAGACTTTTCAGCTTAGAGCCAATAAGATCCATGACTCTCACCTGGTATCCTTCAACTCCAGGGCAGGTCCATTTCCAGTGATCCAACTCTTGCTGGCAGAGCTTGCCAGGGCTCTTAATGAGCTGATTTCTATTAAGTCCAGCTTACCTCATTGAAAGCCACTGTGGTGGGCCGGCGCCGCGGCTCACTAGGCTAATCCTTCGCCTTGCAGCCTGGAACACCGGGTTCTAGTCCTGGTCGGGGCGCCGGATTCTGTCCCAGTTGCCCCGCTTCCAGGCCAGCTCTCTGCTGTGGCCAGGGAGTGCAGTGGAGGATGGCCGAAGTGCCTGGGCCCTGCACCCCATGAGGTAGACCAGGAGAAGTACATGGCTCCTCCATTGGATCAGCGCGGTGCACCAGCCCGGC